TTCGAGTTTCCCCCTCCACCTAGCTAGGATGTATATGTAACATTTTTTTAAAAAATAATTTATTTTTAAATTAATTTTTTAATGTTTAATAAATAAAAACTAAAATAATTTATTTTTAAATTTATTTTTTAATATTTAATAAATAAAAACTAAAATAATTTGTTTTTTTTTTAATAAAATAATTTGTTAAGACACCGTACAGGGCCTTTATTAAATATTAAAAAAATTAATTTAAAAATAAATTATTTTAGTTTTTATTTATTAAACATTAAAAAATTAATTTAAAAATAAATTATTATTTTTTAAATGCTACATATGCATCCTAGGTGGAGGGGTAATTATTAGCAACTTGAGAAATCTAAAAAATGGACAAATTGAATGAAATTGGTTAGTTTGAGGGATCCAATTGTAGTTTTTTTTATTTTATTTTATTTTATTTTATTATTATTATTTTTTTTTACGTTCAGTGGCCTAATTGCATTCTCGTGTGCAATTCAGTGTACCAGAATCCAGACTGATTAATACTCCAATTAAAGGGCAAAGTGCTTGTCAAATTGATTTTTTCATACGAGAGGGGGTTTGAAATCTAACCTCTCTTAAAAAATGAGAGTGCACGACCACTAAAGCTAACCGGTTCTCTTCAATTCTTCTTTTAACTTACTACAATATAATTAAACCTTAGAATTTCCTAATATCTACACACTACAAGTACCTTAGAATTTCATAATATCTACACACTACAAGTTGGCCGCCCTTAGCTTGCATGCATCTGTGACATATATATGATGTTGGAACCGGGTCCATTATAAATCGGGTATGAAAGTATAGAATGGGGATATAAAAATAGTAATATTTTGCACGGAAGGGTATGTTACAATGTCCAAGATACAAAGATTATGGCCCAAGGGTATCAATGAAACTCTTATTGTGTGATACTGCTAATTCTACGCAAGCAATATAAAATAACCCGAGACCGATTAAAGCAAATAAAAGACTTTACTGATCACGGTAAAGGCCCTAAGTACAATCTACTTGGTTGCTCTGAGTACCGACTGACTGCGGTCGGGATTCTCTAACAACAACCTATCGATCGTCCAAAAGTCTTTACACTGTAGCTACTGTGGGTATTTATAGCCGCTATGCCGGGGACAGGATTCCAGCCGTTCGGCATGTCCTCCACGTAGCCACCACGTGTCATCATCCCGGGTGCCCTGTCTGTCGTCGTAAAGAGCCGCCACGTGTCCTTTTGTCAGCTCTCCCGCCAAAGGGCTACCGCTCGGTGGTCGACACTGCCGCTCGGGCAACTCCCGACCGGGTTCTTCACGAGGAGCCCAACCTGTTACCTGCAAAGATAAAGAGAAAAAGACGAAGGTACCTCGGTCGTGGCGAAGCTACGTCGGTCGGGATATTCCCTACCATTGTGCTTATCCTGAAAGTCAACGCACCAGAAACTATTAAGCAGTTCAGGCCGATCAGTCTGTGCAACGTGAGCTACAAGATATTGACTAAGACTATTACTAACAGGCTTAAGCACATCTTACCAAGTTTAGTGGGCCCGTTCCAGAGCTCTTTCGTCCCGGGGAGACAGATCACCGACAATGTTGTTATCTATCAAGAGGTCATGCATACCATGCGGGAGAAGCGGGGATCTAAAGGACTCATGGCGATTAAGTTGGACCTCGAGAAAGCTTATGATAGGCTGTCATGGGATTTTATCCAAGACACCCTTGAGCAAGCTGGTTTCCAGGAGGCTTGGGTGAAGATCATTATGACGTGTATTCGAACTTCGGAGCTGTCTATAGCATGGAATGGGGAGCGCTTACGCCCTTTTACTCCAGGAAGGGGCATCCGACAAGGAGATGCAATGTCCCCCGCCATTTTTGTGCTCCGCATATAGCGTCTGTGTCATATGATCATTTCGGAGGTAGGTAAAGGTAAGTGGAAAGGAATTAAACTATCTACTAATGGACCTACCTTGTCGCTTCTTTGTTTTGCAGACGATATGGTGCTCTTCACGGAGGCATCCTTAGACCAAGTGGTGGTCATCCAAGACTGCTTGAACTGGTTCTGTAAAGCCTCTGGCCAGAAGATGAGTTTGGAAAAGTCGCAGGTCCTTTTCTCCCGCAACACGAACCCCGTTTTGGCAACAGACATTGTGAACAGTCTTGGAATCACGAGAACTAATGACCTGGGTCGATATTTAGGGGTTCCATCCCTACACGGGTGGGTCACTTGCAGAACTTTCAGTGGTCTCCTTGAGCGGGTTTCGGCTCGTTTGGAAGGTTGGAAAGCTAAAACTTTATCTAATGCAGGGAGGGTGGTGCTTGCCAAGTCAGTGTTGAATACCATCCCTGTGTACACAATGCAAACGACGTTTTTACCTAAGAGTCTTTGCCTCGAATTAGAAAAGCGGACAAGAAAGTTTATCTGGGGAAGCACTAGTACAGGAAGCAACAAGGTTAGCCTCACTAAATGGGATACAGTCACCTCGAGTAAGGAAACAGGATGGCTGGGCATTCGCAAGCTCCACGAAATGAACATCGCATACATGATGAAACTTGACTGGAGACTTCAGAAGGAGGCAGACAGTTTGTGTGCCCGTACGCGGTTCACGAAGTATCAACCGCTGGTGGCTTATCAGCGGCCAAGTAACGGTAGAAGAAACACATCGAACACCTGGAAAGGAATAACGGCAGCATGGGATACCCTGTAGCAGGGCATTATACGCCTAGTCCACAATGGGAAGAATACACGCTTCTGGATGGATAAGTGGCTGTTGCCTACACCCCTATATGACCAGCTGCTTGTTCCTCTGGGATTGCCGGAACTATACGCGAACGTGGAGGATTACTGGGATCGACACCGAGGGTGGAAATGGGAATGTTTGAACCACGCTCTTCCGATGGAAGCTCAGGAACGTCTGGCTGGTTTTATGCTAGCCGAGGAGGGGGTGGAAGATGACATTGGATGGGAACCAGATGCCAATAAGCGTTTCTCAATGAGTTCGGCATACGCGGCAGTAGTGAACGAGGACGGTGTTCAGCTTGACGAAGACTGGAGGAGAATTTGGAAGCTTAGACTGCCCGGAAGAATTTGTTTCTTCCTTTGGTTGGTCAAGCATGGGCGCATTCTTACCAACGCAGAGAGAGTACGTAGACATTTATCGACTAATGGATCTTGTTTTCGGTGTGCAGGACAATCTGAGGATCTTAACCACACGTTTAGACGATGCAGGGCAGCAACAGAGATTTGGGAGGCTGACCTTCCACGACGCATTCTGGACATGCTCGGCGGTTTAGACTGGAATGCGTGGTTCCGGGCTAACCTTAGGGGTGACACAAGACTAGGACTGGATGGGGATTGGCCGGAACGGTTTGGCATCCGGCTGTGGTGGCTCTGGAAGTGGAGGAACGAAGAGGTTTTCAGGCACACGTCACCAACCCGGGAGGCTAAGGCAGCATGGCTTCAAACATACGATGCGGAGGTGCGCGCAGCTTTTAAAAAGCGTATCTATCCGGATGCACGACCGGAACGTCGTATTCCTGATCTGGTTGCTTGGAAGAGGCCGCCGCAGGGATGGATGAAGATTAATGTTGATGGTAGTTGTAAGGAGGATGGTATCGCAAGCTGTGGCGGTGTTCTTTGGGATTCCAAAGGGATTTGGCGTGGAGGCTTTACTTACAACATTGGTCGTTGCACGGTGGAGGAGGCGGAGGCTTGGGCGATCCTTCAAGGTCTACGCCTAGCAAGGCATCATAACGTGGACAGGGTGCAAGTTGAAAGCGACTCGCTGCTCACTATTCGAAGCCTCCAGACACAGACCTTGCAGTGCAACAACATGATACGCAGATGCCTGATGGAGGCTGAGAGGATAGCTTATGTGACTTATGAGCATGCATTGAGAGAGCAGAATCAAGTGGCTGATGGTCTAGCTTCTTTGGCCCTCGCTCATCAAGTTGGCCTTTGTATTCTGGATACCCCGCCTCAGGGGATTAAGGAGGCTATGTACAAGGATCAGTCAGGAGTCTGCTTCACTCGTAGGAAGGCAAGACGACATGGCAATGGTGGTTCTTAAGTGTTGTTTGGGTATCACCCTCTTTCGGATAAAAAAAAAAAAGAAAAAAGGGAAAATGGCACTTTTTCCCCCTGTGTTGTTTACATATAGCATATTTCCCCCCTGTGTTGTTTATGTAATCACTTTATTCCCCTTAATTGTTTTTGGAGTGGCTATTTCCCCCCTCTCCGTTAAATAAGTGTTAGGGCTATTAAATATGAGGGTAAAAATGGCATTTCACTTCTTCTTCTTCTTCTTATTATTATTATTATTATTATTATTATTATTATTATTATTATTATTATTATTATTATTATTATTATGTGCTTAAATCATATTTTGTTTTTTTTTTTTTTTTTTTTTTTTTTTTTTTTTTTTTTTTTTTATGATAGTGCTTATTTTCTCTGTCTCATCTTACTTATCTTATTTATAATTTATTAATTAATTTAACTCTTTTTTAGTTACTTCGTTAATTTTTTAAATTGTTAAATTAATTTTTTTGTGTTTAATAATATTTTTAAGAAATTAAAAATAAGAAAAGTTAAATTATACGGAGTATTAATTTAAAGAAATGTTAACATAGTTTATTATATTTTAATAATAATAATAATAATAATAATAATAATAATAATAATAATAATAATAATAATAATAATAATAATAATAATAATAATAAGTGAAATGTCATTTCTACCCTCATATTTAACAGCCCTAACACTTATTTAACGGAGAGGGGGGAAAATAGCCACTTCAAAAACAATTGAGGGGATAAAGTGGTTACATAAACAACACAGGGTGAAAGTATACTATATGTAAACAACACAGGGGGAAAAAGTGTCATTTTTCCAAAAAAAAATAAATATTTGTTATGTTACATCTATTTTTTTTTTTTTATTTATTTTACTGTAGCGCTAGACTTCTTTGTCGGTCTATAAATACCCACCATTAGCAAACCCTTCACTGCACCATTCTAAAGCTAAAGCCTGAAATATTATTACTTAGCTTCGTATATCATATCAATGGCTATGGCTTCTTCCAACAGAGCTTCCTCTTCGTTGGCTCTTTTCTTTGCCCTCAACCTTGTCCTCTTCGCTTCCGTGTCCGGCTGCGGCTCCTGCGTGAAGCCGAAGCCGAAGCCGGCATGTCCTCCGCCGCCGTCTACTCCAGTTCCAGTTCCGGCTCCAAAAGCCAGCTGCCCCATTGACACCCTGAAGCTGGGAGTTTGCGCCGACGTGCTAGGCTTAGTGAAGGTGGTGATTGGAGCCGACAAGGAGCCGTGCTGCTCGCTTCTTAGCCCCTTGGCCGACGTGGACGCGGCTGTTTGCCTCTGCACGGCTCTTAAGGCTAATGTTTTGGGCATTAACCTTAATGTCCCCATCTCACTCAGCTTGCTCCTCAATGCTTGCTCCAAGGTTGACCCAGCTGGCTTCAAATGCGAATAATTATTCATCCTCACCTATGCTCTATTATTGGGTAACACTTGTGTGAGACCGTCTCATTGCACGGGTCTCAATTCGTGAGACGAATAGGATCTTTGACATCATTAATCAAAGATCCTGCTCATATCACACAAGTTTTTGCCCTTATTATATATATATATTCCTGTTTTTTTTTTTTTTTTTTTTTTGGGTTTTAATTAATTTCTTTGGTGTGAAACATATATATGTACGAGGATGTTCAGTTTAAGTTGTTGAATGTCGGATGGAATTATATTCGTAATCCCATGTACCAAACCAGCCTTCAATAATTCATATATGTATGCTTGATCTGAGTGGAAACAGTCGAAAAGTTACTATTCTACTTTGCTAATGGGGGTTAATTTCTAGCTAGACCACAGGGATTATATATAGTAGTATATATTTATTATTTACCACTTTTTTTTTAATCATTTCAATAAAATATAGAAAAACATGTGTTTTTCGTTTGTCTCACATGAATGTATGTAGAAGACTAGAAGTATAACACAACACACACGTACAATAATCTCCTCATTAATATTAAAGAAAATGCATGTAATTAATCTACTACGTATATCTTGAGAATGTATGTTCCTCAAACTCCATTCAATCTATTAAATAATAAATAAATAAAATAATATCGTCATCCTATCCTCTCATTTTACAAGTACCATTCATTCTAGCAAAAAAGAGACATGTTTCTATAGTATATATAAAAATTTAGTAAAAAGTATGTTTTTTTTTTTTTTTTTTTTTCATATAACATATATGATATGATATTGCCATAATAGTGTAAGATTATTTGCGTGACTTGGGAAACATGCAGTTATTAACAACTCTTGTTTGACAGATTTAATTGATAGGGTGTTAGCAAGAATTACACTCATGATTGTTTGACATAAAAATCATGCTCCATTTACTCAATCACCTCTTTCGAGATGCTATATATATATATATATATATATATATATATATATATATATATATATATATATATATATATATATATATATATATATATATATATATATATATATATATATTTGTTGAGAAAAACAAGATCGATCAAGATATCAAGAACAACGGAAAAGTAGAGTTTATAAGCATTACATTTATAGATCAACAAGTTTAATGGTATATTTACAAAATTGCTCTTGTACTCATAAGCATCATATTTTTGACTATATACCATTCCATTCCACTACGCTTTAGCAACAATAATTTTTTTTTTTTTTTTTTTTTTTTTTTTTTTTTTTTGGTTTTTTGGTCAAACCAGATTGATTTTTTTATACGAGAAGGGTTTAAACTCCCAACCTTTTTTAAAGGACAAAAGTTCATGACCACTCACACCAACCAAGGCTGATTACAGTCATCTTTTTTAATAACATATAAGACATAAATTAAACAACAATTTCCTCAAAAAAAAAAAAAACAACAATATTTGAATTGATTATTATGTTGAAACTAATCAATTGTTAAATTCCGAATATAATGAAAATTTAATTATTTAAATTATGATGATTATGATAAATGAGGTGGGGTGCAGTACAAAATGGGAGGTGATATTGGTAGGGTAATGCGGGAATAATAAAACAATCAAATAATGATGAAAGTAATTATACATAATTGATATTTTAAAGAAACAGGTCAGGTCTCGTAGATGTCTGATGTGTATACATGTCACATGGGCCTGGTGGAGTGGTGGCCCACCACTGTAGTACACGGACTTGACCTCAGTGGCTTAGTCCAGGTAAGTAGCAAGTACAATTCCTATCCAATGGTTCAGCTTTCATCAAAATCATTCGAACATTTTTGGATATTCTAGGTTTTTTTTTTTTTTTTTTTTTCAAATTAAAAATGATCTATTTTGTAGTTTCATTTTCCAAACACACTAATCTAATTATAGTAAATTAGTAATATTAAAGTATTATTTTAATTACACTCTATGTTCATTTGACAATATATGTTATTGTATGACTCTGAGTTTTAGTTTTATTTTTCACATACACTAGTTTCATTATAACAAAACACTAAAGTATCATTTTAATTATACTACAGTTTCACTTGACAATTACATTGTTGAATAAGCTCTGTTTTTTAGTTTCAATTTCCACACACACTAGTTTCATTATAGCAACACTAAATTATAATTCTACTACAGTTTCATTTGACGACCATGTTCCATATAGCACTGTGGACCATAGTACAACGTATAATAATTGTATTTTTTAATATGGGACAAATACTTCTTAAAGTCTTCCCAATTAAAAGGGTACACAGTGAGAATCAAAATTTTATTCATTTATTATCCATTTTGACTTTTGAGTATATAACATATAGAATTAAACCTCTTACTTAGGGAGCTCTGAAATCGCTTTGATCCGACATAAATCGGGAGTGGATCATACTCCAAAATTTGCCTCAAAGTGATAATTTTATATGTCAATTTTAACTAATTTTTTAACAAAAATCACAAATATAAGATAAATCATCTTAGACTATTCATAATTGACCGATTCAAACTAAAAAGACTAATAGACCACTATTGTGTGGAGTTGAATTGAACTTGTATCTCGCGGGGAAACTTTATAAAAAAAAAAAAAACAATTGGCATGTTAAAACTTAAACTAAATCGCAGAAGCAATCATATCAAGACAGAAACAAAGCAACCCACAGGCCATTGCAAATTAATTAAACTAGGACATCTTGTGAAATTTAGATAACCTCTAATTTTTTTTTTTTTTTTTTTGAAAGAGAAAGTTTAATTCATTAAATCGGAAGCAAGAAAGTCAACAAGAAAAGCAGGTGGCTCATCCAACCACTCACTGCAACCTGACACAGAAAAAACCTCCCTAGCAACAGCATGGGCAGCGCAATTCGCAGATCGCTTAACATGACAGAACTGCACATCCTCAATCTCAGATGCCAAGCTCTTTACATCATCAACTAAATAGCCAAAAACAGAAATAAAAGAATCCGAAGTTAAAGCATAAAAAACAATCTTACAATCAGTTTCCACATCTACAGCACCCAAACCAGTGCCCTTGAGCCAACTCATCGCCTCTCGTACAGAAAGCACCTCTGCCTCCCTAACAGTATACAACCCTGGCACTCTGACATTTTTAGCAGCAAGGAAATTACCACCATCATCCCGCAAGACCCATCCAAACCCCATTGCATTATCCACCTCCCTTAACGCAGCATCAGTATTGAGTTTGAGCCTCCCAAGCACAGGCTTTGCCCAAGAGGTCACGACATATGGTTGTTTGTTGCCAGCACCAACATGCAGCTTTTCATTAGCTTCTCTCCAACAATCCAGAAAAGCCAAAGACCTACGCACCATAATAGATAAGTCAAAAACAGCACCCCTCCAAACACTCTCGTTTCTACCGCACCACACACCCCAACATGCCATCACAAACCTAGGCTTAGCAATCAAATCTAAAGTGCCCAGAGCCCAAAAGAACCAGTCACCAAGATGATTACCATCATAGTTGCACACATGAGGCATCCCCAACAAGTTCCAAAGGCGAACCGCCTCCCCGCACTGAACAAAAAGATGCATGGCCGACTCCTGCACTACCTGCACATATGACAATCCACCAGGCAAGCAACATTCTTAGATAACAAAATATCACGCGTGGGAAGATAGAGGGATGCTAACTGCCAACAAAAGCTCTTCACCTTAGGAGGGACCTGCAAGTTCCAAATACTTGCCCATGGGTGGTGACTCGCGCCCACTCGCGTAAGTTGCCTGTAACATGATTTGACCGAGTACACACCCTTCTGCTCCCAATGCCAAAACCACTGGTCATGAGGTCCCCGGTTACTGACAGGAATATTCAAAATTAAATTAGCATCACGGGTATTGAAAATATCCCTCACACAATCCACATCCCACCCCTTACCATGTTGATCCATCAGAGAAGCCACCGGTGCCTCAGAAACTGTGTGATGCAACTCCGTTTCCACAAACGGATTCCCATCGTCAGGGAGCCACGGATCCCTACCAATTATAGTCCCTTTGCCATCGCCAATGACCCTTCTACAGCCCTCCTTCAAACAGCCTTTAACCTCCAGCATACCCCGCCAAACATAGGATGGGTTACTACCCTCCCTGGCGTCAAAATAGTCATAATAAGGGTAATACCTTGCTTTAAACACACGGGCCACGAGACTTGTGGGATTGGAAACTAACCTCCACGCCTGCTTTCCTAATAATTCTTTATTCATCTCATGTAGACGGCGGAACCCCATTCCACCACATGCTTTCGGCTTTGACAAACCCTCCCATGATCGCCATCTGATCCCACGTTCACTACCCACTCTGCCAGTCCACCAGTATTGATTCAGAATTACCTCCACTTCCCGACACAGGCCCAAGGGGAGCAAAAACACCATCATAGCATAAGCTGGCATTGTTTGCAAGACATTCTTCAGAAGCACCTCCCTCCCAGCTCTAGACAAAAACTTGGCATTCCAAGAACGGACCCTGGTGAGTATTCGGTCCTTCAGGAAACCCAGTATAGCCTTCTTCCTCCTCCCCACTAGGGATGGCAAACCCAAATATTTTCCACTCGTATCACCCTCCTCCACTCCCAGTATATCAACAACCTCATTTCTTCTATTCTGTGGGACATTTGCACTAAAACATGCAGCAAATTTATCATAATTTATATACTGTCCAGAAGCCCTGGCATAGGTGTCAAGAATATACCTCATATGAATGCTTTCATCCTCATTAGCCCGTAGAAAGAGGAAGGAGTCATCTGCAAAAAGGAGATGAGAGATGGATGGTGCCCCTCTAGCAACTGAAACCCCATGCAAACGGCCCGCAGACATGCTTCTCTCAATCATAGCACTCAACCCCTCAGCCACAAAAAGGAACAAATACGGGGATAGCGGGTCCCCCTGACGGAGGCCTCTTCCTGGTATAACTGGCCCCAAATGCCGCTGATCGTGCAAAATATGATACCGTATTGAGGTCACAGATTCCAGCAAAATATCCACCCATCCACCACCAAACCCCATCTTAAGCAACACCGCCCGTAGAAACTCCCACTCCACCTGATCGTAGGCCTTCGACATGTCAAGCTTCAACGCAACGACCCCTCACG